AATGTTGCAAAGAACTTATGTACAAATGTCAAAAACCTCTAGTCTGCCAGTTATCTGGAATGTTAAACCATTTCCACTATAAAAGAAGTGAGGATCAGTCATCCTGCCGGTCAATTACCAGATCAAAAAGTTCCACCAGTCATTCAATCCTGATAGCTTCCGCAATCACTCAATCCCTTAATTCCCACAGTTACATAATCCGGCAACTCGTTCAATCACTCAGTCGGGCGGTTCGTGTGAGTACTCAAGACGAAATACAGTCAGGCATCCAATTTCGACTACAATTCAACGGCACGAGCGCGACAAGACCGTTCCGCATCCTTTAATACTTATTGTGTATTGTTCATTTCGTCCTTATTATTGTTTCATGCGATTATTGTACCATACCGTATAAGACCAGTAAAGGTTACTATCAACGTAGAAGAGTTATAACAACAAAAAATAAACTACAAAATCATTCCCCGACAAACATAGATTAGCTTATTCGGATACTTGAGAATAGATATTATCACCACTGTTGAGATTCTTGCAGAAGTACAAGTTAGTTAAGCTTAAATAATTTAATTGTTCTAATCGAACTTTCTTTTCCGAATTCTTTCCATCGAAATGAATCTTTATATTTACACTTTTTTTTTACTTTGCTTAGGCCTTTTCATTTTTATCCATTGTTGGCAGAAGTTTGAAGGAAGCAATGGAGAGATAAATAATTAGAACAACGCAAACCAGACTAAAAGCTTGTGTGCAGAGATGTCTAGGGATTGATGAGGCGACAAGAAATCAAAACTTAACAAGACGTATCTTCAGGATTTTGAATGTCTCAGATATTTCAAAGTAGGGAAAGCATTGTCGTGCAGAGTTAATCAAATTAGTTCTGTTGGAATGGTCCATTGCCAACTTGGTTAGTGAATGTCATCCGGGATGATTATACAGCTGTGATGAAAAAGTTAATGTTAATGTAGCATGCAGTCTGCGTGATATCTGTATTCACTCACTTCATGACCTTTTTATACGCTGTATTAGAAAGGTAGTGGAAAAAGAAGGAAAACTTACTGTTGGAAATAATGGACGATACCCAATTCGTACAGTTGTGTTTGCTTAACTGTCCAATCACCCACTCGTTCTCCACGATACATAAGTCTGATCATCTTTGCCGATATCATATTTGTGATAAAAGGAGCATAATTAATTTCTTCCGTAACAGAACTATTCATTTTATTGTCCACTGTTAGAGTATCGTTTTTTAATTGTATTCCATTGAAATTCATCTGGAATGGTAATGATCTGAAAAAAATCCAAAATGTTTCTTTTTCAGCATTTCAAGCAGCTCATAATCAGGATTGTTCGGTTATTTATTGATAGTACATAAACTCCTTTAAAGAATTTAATGTTGCAGTGTCAAACCCTCCGGTGAATCCATTCAAATGGTCCGATTTCCGAATCGTCCAATTTCATCGATCAACAATTAATCATGCCTTTTTGGATTGTTTGAAACTTTCCAGTTCATTTACATCAGCATTACCTAACAATTGCCATATCTGCACTACGGTCGGATATCTGATTCAGAATTAAGGGTTATCCAGTACCTGTATGTTGAAAGCTCGTCCGTACATTACGGAACTGGGATAATTCAAAGAAATTCGATCGTTTAATGGCTGATGAGCACGAAATTGTTCCAATTGCACTTCAAAACCATTCTGTAAATTATCACTACTTTTTTAATTTTCTATAATTTTCTAAGTAGCAAATTCCCTTTGTTTGAAAACTTTCCGATATTTTTGAAAAAGAATTCCATTTGCTGGATTTCAAGCCTTAAATTTTATAATAGTTTAAATCACCGCCTTTTGCATTAATCCCATATGAAACCTAGAGATTTGCTATTTCTCCAAATTTGATTTGACGTGTGACTAAAAAAATCAGCTAAAAGCTATAACAGTTGCATCATTTAGTTGTAGTATCATCAAAGTGGAATAAAAATGAAAAGGATTTTCATACTCTTTCGTTAACAGGTTCGAATTTAGTGTATAGGTCAAATGGTATTTAAATATGCGAAAATAGGAACTTTGAATTTAAGGTTATCGATTGTTGATTGATTATTTCGAAATGCATCTTAACAAAACGAAATGAAGTTGTAAACTTCTATTCTGGCGAGAAAAAGAAAATATGGTTTTTGAGCAGTAATTTCCAAAAAAACATATTCACAATTAAAAAGAAAATTACATGAAATTGCTGCAGTGGAAGATTAAGCAAACAGAAACTGCGACAAAATTCATTAAAAGACTCTTCCTTATTAAGAATATGATTGTGTATTGTAAAATTATTCGAAATCAATTCATCCACCTGGAAATGACATTTTTAACAGTTATCCGATCGTAGATTACAAAAAGAACCGAATGGTTCCAATGTCTTCAGAGTTGAAAGGAAATTCGATGGAAATAGTAAGAAATATGTGGAAGATGGGTGAAATTTAAAAACTCTATGAAGACAGAAAAGTTTGTCTCATTACGATCTTGATCTATCCTTTATAATTTTCTTTGTTCTTACTTCAGCAGCTTCTTTCAGTATTTCCGCTCTCAGCACTGAACCACTATCTTTAGCAACGATAAGAGCCATGAGAAGAATTCCTTTCCCTTTATGATTTGTAAATTCTTCCTGTATTGCATATTCTTCACGCGATCGTGCCCCATACGGTACGAAACCCATCAGATCATTTTCATAACTGCAATTTGGAGGAATACTTCCTTCTTTGCAATCTTAATAAGTTAGTAACTAATGAGCATTTGCTAAAAACTGAAATAATCTAAAATATGCATCAAATTCTAATTATCCTTTAGTTTTAATTTTTCTCTCAAAACATTTGTGATAACATGTCGCTGTTTGAACTTTTGTTATTATCAAAGAATAAAACAATGGTATGAATTAAATCGAACTCAAGACTTAGAAATAACTGTTGGAAAGTTTAAATTTAAGGTGAATTAAAAATAACTGCCAAGAGATTTAATTTTGAAATAAATTTATTCCTAGCTGAAATTAATAAAACAAAAAAAAAACTAACGGTGTAGTGATAACTTTGGCGGTGCATATAACAGATATTAAAACGGAAATAACAATTGCGCCAGTGATATGATCGGCTAAAAAATACGACCAGCGCCTGTGTAGAAAATTAACAAACTGAACAAGGCGCGTTTGATTCCCAGACTTAGTTGGAAATGAACAGAAAGAGAGTAAATGCATGAATGTTAAACCAGGGAAATGCTAATTTTGTCACCAATGTGAAATGATCTGATCAGTATTCTTCTTTTGCTCTTTCTAATGAATCTTTTATTCGTTCAAGGTTTCTTTCAATCTGGAACAGAAAAAAGAAAAAATTTTCAGGAATGTAATTCTTCTTCATATGTCATAAAGAAAAAAGACAAAAAAAAGTGAAATTTGTGATTGTACTGCAGCATAAACGTTCCACTTATCAACAATTGGGTATGACGGCAATAACGAATATATTAACGATGAAAAGAAGCCAGACAAACTGTGGAAAAACCAAATAGTTATCGAAGCTCTAAAGGAAACTGATCGGACGACAAAATGATAATGACAGGTTGTTGCTGTGAGTTCATGCTCAAACATTTGTATTAGATAGCCATTACCGAGGAAAATACATTTAAAAGTTTAAATCAATTTGGCATAAAGCAGTTAACAGAAATCCCTAATAGGGATCGAACTTAAAAAGAGAAGCATAAGACAGATACAACATAAAACAGGTAATGGTGTGCTATCCTTTAATCCAAATTTATAAAAAATGCCGCTATTCTAACCTCTTTAGCGATTAGATTGATTCGGTAAAGTTGCAATTCTTGAATAAATGTTGAGAAATTTGTTTATTTCTTAGTGATTCAATAAAGTTACGATTGACAATTTTTACTTGCTTCATTTAATTGTTCTACCTTTTCGTTCAGAATCGAAACAAAAAAAATTCAATCAATGGCGCTAATCCCTCAGTCAATAAATCGCTTTTTTAACGAAAAGTTTGGACAAATGTTTATCATCCAGTTTTTCCAAGCAAAATGAACAGAATATGGTCGAAAGTATTGCATCTGATGAATTCATCAAGCCTTCTGAAGTAATATTCATCGGACAAATGAAATTGAAACAGTTACTGGAATAGAACAGTCAATTTTGGAATTTTCATATTCCAAGTTGGCATAAATATAATATCATTACATCGGAAGCTTTTTTTTCGTAATCTTTTTCCTTTGCTTTTAATTGTAAATGAGAAGCGCAAAAAGTAGAGACCGATGGCGCAGATATTTCTGCATAACCCATAATGATGGATGTCCTAAACCAAAGGAAGAAAAAACACAATATATGATCTCATATGCTTAGCGAGGATTAATGAACAAGGGAAAAAATATTCGAAAAACAATCACTGACAAACGCATCACAAAAAAAGGTCACCATGAATGTTCAAAGCAATCCGTAGACAATCTGTGGATTACAATTGCTATCACTGTGTCACTACCACTGATTTTATCAAAACATTTTAGTGAAACCATTTATTGTTATAGCTGCCTGCGTCACTGATATAGTGGACTTCTTCAGTTTTCAAAAGGAAATCTAAAAAGTCTTCCATGCATTTTTTTGGGAAAATATTTGAAATCCATATTATATCTAGGAATTAAGCAAAACATTAGCATTTTAGATCTAGTGGAATTCGCAATATTTTCAATTACCTTTGCTGATGACGCACATTGAAATGATAGCCGTAGTTGTGCTATAGCATTCATTATTAAAGAGCAGTTGACGAGGAAATGAAGAAAAATATTTGTACACCTTCAAAACTAATAACGCATTCAAGTGCCTCCTATGTCTGTGACATTCGAGATTTTTGAGAGAATCCAAAAGACGGTTATGATGCGCTGAAGAGGTAGGAAATTTTATCTAATTTTATACCTCAACGGTTCCATTATCCTCAATTGAAACGGAGGACAATATTGAAGCGTGGAATAGGAATGAAAACTTCGCTTGGTCCCACACGTGTATTTTATAATTGATTCAAAGATCGAACATTCAAGAATTAGAAAAAAAAGTGAAAATGCCAAAGTTTCGAATCGAAGTAAAAAGAGCGAGAAGGACGAGCGACACTTTTATGATATTCTGATGATCGTGAAGATCACTTGGTTTCATAAATATTTGAAATACCGAACCACCGATGGCGCAAATCATTCGCTGGGTGATGGAAACAAACCTCAGTTACTTTTTCGGCGATTAATCTTGACTTAAGTTTCGAGATTTCGCATCGTAATATTTTACTCGTTCTTAAAAAAAGAAAGTATGTGACAAGTTGGATTAATCCGGATCTCCCCGCTCTAAAACTTATCTTCCTGTTCACCGCCACAAATAGTCATTTGAATTATTTCTCTTCAGATTGACTGCGCAGAAAAGAAACAGCACATCAAAGTTTGTGTTGACTTCCTCCACTCTTGATCTCAATGAATTTCGAAGTGTATAAGGAAAAGAAAGCAAACGTTTCCTTTCTTGATGAGCACAATTTTTGAAATGATTCATTTAATATTTAAAGCAACTGTTGCTTTCCTTCACGACCGTTTGTTATTCAAAACAAGTTTTTATTTGAGCGCATAGTAGACTCTATTGTTGATGTTTGAAGGAAGAACAAAAAAAAAAAAAATTGATCGAAAATAATTATCAAAGGGTTAATCTAATCAAATTTAAACATAATCATTATGCATTAGGAAGTATTAACAATAGCAATATCAATTCTCCTGTTGATTTCATTATCATTTGGAAATTTCTTGTTGTAAAAAGAGGTCTTCGACCTCAAAAGCACAATCATTGTGTGTTAACTTTAATGAATTTGAGTGAAGTGAGAAGTGGGAAAGAGGAAATGTAATAACCTTCCAGACTTGCTTAGGAACATCTGGAAAAAATAATAAAATTTATGATTCAATGAATGCCTAATAGCATCAGTTAAAGCTGATTACATTACATTAATCGTGGAAATACAATCGAAATAATAAATTATACCAAAATTTGTTCAGAAAAAAATTACAGTATGCGGGAGGATTTCGTTATCTTTTGATTTAGTATGAAGCAGCAGATTTGAAACTTGTAAGATTGACTTCAAATGCAGATTAATTTGAGAAGATAAAAATGATTTGAAAAAAAGTAAAAAATGAAAAAAAAGAAGTAGAAAATCAAGGAAATTTGACCATCAAAAAAAGTCCGGCATTTCATTTGCATTTTTTCTGGTGGAAGCACCGTATTCTGAATAATTTTTGCGATAACTAATTAATCGGTAAGAAAATTGGTTTATTGCCCGTAGTAAATGATTGCAATTCAACACAATAAATAAGCAGATTCAAGCAGTAACGATGTGCAACATGGGCTTCAAGATCAAACTTATTTAGTCCGAGATTTTGTGGTTAAAGAATTCAGGACAAAACTAGTATAATTATCAGTTGATTTGATTTGCAAGGTTGCTGGAAAAAAGACTGGAAGTAAAGTTACTAAACATGTTAGGTGATAGGCCATGTGAAAACGAGAACTAATTCATTTTCGAATCAGGTGATTTCTTAATTTGCGTCATTAAAATGTTTGGAGCATAAAATTCACAAATCATCCATCTAAAAAAAACAATAAACCGAGAAAAAGAATTTAGTCAAATTTCTTCACTCAAAGTGGAAGACAAAGGAGACATAAAAGTATGAAGAAAATAGAAATTGATGAGTGATTCCTATATTGTCGATTTCATATTATTCAAATTAAAAGAATTAAAATATTTTGCGATTAAAAAAACTAAAATAACTTCACGCGTGAAGAAATGTAAAGAACTGATGCGATGGGCAGAAAAATGGCTTGGCAAACATATTCCAAGCAGATTCCGCAGAAAACTACAGTAGAAATGTAAGTAACCTTAGGGGTGGATATCTATAGAAAACACATTCAGTCCGAAATACAATTGTGAACGGACATAAACAAACAAGCAATGAGATAAAAACATAAACGAATAAATAAAATCAAACTGTCACTTTTGTAGCCTTTATTTCATTAATTCCATTTGACATTACCACTTGTTCGTTTACAGCGTAATCAATTAAGATGCAAGTAAATTGTTAGTATCGAATCGAATGAGATAGCTTTTTACCGTCTAGAGTTCAAAAATGTTAAGGTTACTAAGGCTTGATGAATATTGAAGTCTAATGATTCGTCACATAGAAGCCATCATTTTCCATTGTTTTTCAACAGTTTTTTCCTCATTGTAAGAGAAATGAATAAAGAACAAATCAGCTAAATTAAACTTGTTTGGGATTTAAAATATGAAATAAGAATCCCTTATTAATTCTTACGATCCCCTACAGAAATATTGAAAAGGAAAGGCTACCATTTTAAAAAGTGATAATACTTTTCTTCTTTATCCAGTTTTTAAGGGGATTGTCAGGACTAAGATGACCATCCTCTTAGCACAGAAATGTCAGATCTGTGGTCACTTTTAGTGGAGAATAATATTCGAATAGATCGTTAATTTCTTTATTCGGCGCACCTGAAAACTAGTTTTATTTTCCAGTGTAATTTCATGGTATCTGATAGTATAATCAATGACATGTCGTGTTTATCGCAGTGATTATTGCAGTGATAATTATGGTCCTTCTCCACAGATACCTCACTGTAGCGGTGGAAAAGCATGTGTATTCTAATGAGGTTGCGAGCCATGCTACCGGTGCAATCATGCTTCCGCAAGGGGTCTCCCATGCCAGACAAAAAGCATGCCAACGTACAAGGTAGGCTCGTTGGAACCATCCCAGGATTAGAACAATCTCTAACTCCAAACCAGAACAAATAGAGTTTGTTTAACCTGTAAGACCATTCATTGTCTAAAAAAAGAATACTCTAACGAGACCTACATTCTAAACATTTCACTACCAGCCTCATAGTTCAGTAGGCTCTGGCGGATGGACCTAAAAGGACCACATCTATAACGCTTGCAGCAAGCGTAGCTATAGCCTCTCCCAAATCTTTATTTGTAAAGCCTAGCCGTGATAATTGATGAATGATGAATGGTGATTGATTGATGAATGATAATGATGATTGATAAATGATGATGACAAATGAATGAATGAATGAATGGATGGAATGAATGAATGAGTAAATGGAATGAATGAATGAATAAATGAGAGAACGAATAAAAAGAATGGTGATGATTGGCGACTGATGAACGATTGAGTGAATGAATAAATGAATGAATGAATGAATGAATGAGTGAATGGATGAATGATGAATGACGATTGATGAACGATGAGTGATAAACGATTATTGAATGAATGAGTGAATGAATGAATGAATG